CCCCAAAACCCCAAAACCCCAAAACCCCAGATTGCAAATTTCAACATGAGAATTGAGTTATTAAATCAAGATTCAAATAATTGTTATTCTCAAGTTATTGTTTTTCATTTGTAAATTGTCATTAAAGATTAAGCTAGCCCTTGATAATCTTATCTCTGAATGATGATAGTGCTTTCCCACTCTACTACATAATTTGATCAATTTTTCCAGGTCTGTTCTTTTCTCTTTGAGACAATTGACTTGATGAAATTTGCCTGGCCATTTGGCATGCTTGAACTCTAGTGAATATCTGATTTCTGTTTCTAACTGTCATATAGCCAGTGTAAGGTGGGATTCTCTAGTTATTTGTTTGCATATCAGGATAAAATTCCTAACCTTCATCAATATCTAACTCGTAAGGTTATATTAGCTCATTGTTAATTTTTGGTCTTTGTTTATTTCTTGAAGTCTTTGGAACGTTCTAATAGAAATTTCTAAGCTTTTGATGGGATAGTACATCTATTTCATTTTTTATTAAAATTGAACCTTATCTGTTATTTTTGGGGTTTCTGGATTATGAATTAGAGGACTACAAAGACACTTCAGACAACGTGTAGAGATTTGATGTCTTTTTGTCTTTAGTATCAAGGAATCTTTTCTTAGAATCTGGAGAAATCATATGAATCTGACTTTGCATTTTCAATGGTATTTTGAGCTTTAGAGTGTCTTGTTGAATTAAACTCTTCTAATTACTATTAAGATCCGGTAGGATACTATTATGCCTCTTCTCTGTATTCATCTTTTTGAAATTATACTGGTTACTCTGGATGCTAGAGGAGTTTCTAGGTGTCTTAGACTTCATCTTAGCATTTGATAGTAGATTCCTAAGAGTATCAATCGCATTCATTTTCATTTCTGGATTGAATTAGCCTATTTATTTCTATGTGAGCTTCTCAAGATCTCTCATGAATTAGGTTTTACCTTTTTAATGGTTCTAAAGTTTCTAAAATATATGTGGAGCATTTTCAATGTCAAAATGGTCGCTTATATGAACTAATTTTTCTATGCCAAGATTCTTAGAAAGTACTCTTTCTATTATATAGTAATGATTTAAAGTTTAATTACACTTATTGATGTTGTTTTCAATCTTAGTTTTATTGAACTTCAAGTAATCAGGGTTTTGCAACGCTTCAAACATATCTGTATATCCACTTTTGAATTACTCAAGGTAAAGCTTTTCTATATAAATTATATTGTTTTTCATCTTACCATCCTTTTCTAGTGATAAAAGAGATTTGTTATAGAGCTCAAATTCCTTCATTTTGAATTGAATATCAGTTAAAATCTATTTATGAGATTAACTTTCTTTTAACCTCTTTTAATGATTTTAAGCATTCAAAATTTCCTATTTCTTAGTCTATCTAGCCTCATCTATGTACAAGTTTTCCTCATCCTTCAAGTTCTTAGCATCTTTATCAGTATCAAGATTGCCCTATAGAAATGAATTTACTATAACTATTATTACATTACTAAAGGCTTAGTTTACAAGACTGTCTTATTTCAAAGCATTTTAATCGGGATTATCATCATGCTATATCTACTTCAGCCTTTTGTCAAGCTGTGCTTTACTCACTACATTATAAAATTTCTAGTATTCCTTCATAAATTCTTGATGTCTGATAAATAGATTGTTTGGCGGGTTTAGATCTTAGTCATCTAGGGCACTTTCGCTCCCAAAAAAGTTACCATCTCTCTATTTTATCAGTAATTACTTGACCTATTACTTCATAGTTGAACAATTTTTACTGACTACCTCTACGATTTTCTTTAAATGATTGAAGAGTAAACTGTAATTCAAATAATCTCTGACACGTTTGGCAAACTTTTATTTAATAAAATTTTCCTATTCTTTCTATAGCTTGATTTAGCAGTCTTGAGTAGTTATGCTCTAAGAGCTTTTTCTATTTCCCTTAACAGAGAGCTTAGTCCTGAGGTTAGTACTTTGATTGCCGAATGATGGTGTCTATTTGAGAGGAGATTCATTTCTATTACCTGAGATGTTGTTGTTGTTAGAATTGCTATTTGAATTATTAGCAACTGGAACAGCTACAGCTAGACTATTCTGATTATGATAGTTTAAGCTGTTTTGATTATAAAATGAATCTACTTTTCTAAGTTGATTGGTCGGAAGGTGCCTTAATCCTAATTTTGGACTTGGAGGCAATAGCTTTTATGGCTATTAAGGACTATGAGTATCCTATTCGACCTAGGCCTTGTTTATATGACTGACCTCTTTATAAAGTTTGTCAAACTAATCGAAGGTTTGATAAATTTCATCACTTTGCTTAAGTTCTCCCTTTTCAACTAAAAGTTTCATTTTGTAGCAGACTTACTGAAGAAATGAATTGAGAAAATAATTGACTTTAGTAAACAGCTGTTTTTTCCTTTATATTTCGAATATAATGGTAAATTCTCTATCCTCATTAGAAAGCATCTTCAAATGATTAATACTGTGAGATTCTTTGTTAAATTTTTCACTATCTTTCTTTTCTAAAGCTTGAAAGGTAATTCTCTTATTAAAATCTTTGATATGATGTAGTTGAATGATAAGTTACTCTCTTAGTTTAAGATTTCTATCTCTTTACATATACATATCGTTATATATTTTATTTTGAGAGTCTAATCTGAAAATACAGTTCTCATATTGGGATAGTATAATTTCTAAGCCAATTGCTTTTTAAACTATTAGAATGCTTTAATTCTTATCATCAAGCGATAAGTTTTCTAATTGTGCAAGTTTAGACTCCCTTTTCTTTATTTTTTCGAACTATCTGAGAATTATATCGTCATTTATTTAGAATAATCCTTCAATACTCGTGGTTGTTTTTCTCTTCAGAGGAGTGATTGATCTACCAGAGCCTCTTCTCTAAGTTGAGGATCTGGGAGTTCCTGCAGATTGAGTAAATAAGCCTAAGTCTCCTAGTTTCATCATGCTAGGATGCTGCTTCATCTGATTTAAATTCCTAGGTGAATGAATGGCTAAAATATCGAAGGTTTAATTTTTGTTCCTAGGACTCTATTTCCTCATAATAATTTCTTTTTAGCGGTCTTCTCTCATATCTAATACCATCTTAAGTTCTTCAATATACAGTTTGGCATTGCTATCCACATTAACACTTTTTATCGGTAGTAGAGTGTTACCACTATCCTATCTTTGAACTTATGAATCAATATTTGTCAACAATTTGATAAATTCAACCACTTTCTGAGTAAATAGGTAATCCGAGACGAACTAGCATTCTCTTTGCCTGATCTCTTCCTTTTGCCGTTCATATTTTTCAATGTCGAATTTCTGATTCTCCTTTTTGAAGTTTTACAATTTCAATTAGAGTCTTTATATTTCCATTTATCTCTCAACATGCTCTTTCTTAAGTTCTTAGTTTTCTTTCAACTCCATAAGTAGCATTTATCGCTTTTCCTAGAGCATTGCCGCATGCTTTTTTCTCATCTCATTAAGATTCTTTCGGAATTAGATTATACCATCAAGAGAAGCTTTCTATACAAAGAAAAGTTATTCAATCGATATATGAAGTTGTAAATTGAATTCTTACGTTTCTGGATGTAGTTAACTGACTGACTCTTTGAATCCCATCAGAGTAGTTTTGTATTTTATCATGATCAGGAGATATTTATTTAAGTCTGATCTAATCGAATAAAACCTGCTCCTTGAATAGATTAAGTTTGAAAACCAGCTACTCATTTTCCATTTCCGCCTATTCAGCTTTGTATTCTGCATCATATAGCATATCCTGCACTAGATCACCACGTTCTTCAATCTCTCGAACACTAAAAACAGAGGCAAGCTTAGCTGAACTGACGTTGGATTATATCTCTACCATTGACCACTGATCTGAAGCGTCAAATCTGTTACCATCCTTCATATGATTCCTTAGCTCTTTTAACTTCAAAACTTCAAGACTCAGTAAATCTCTCTGTTTAGTTTTCTCATTAAGATGAAATTTGGCATGATTAAGCTCTTATCTCAACTATAATGTGGATGAATAGGTCTTTAGTTTTAGATTATGTTACCTCTTTGACCTAGTTATCAGAGACTACCTTCTTTCAGTTTTACTCTTCAACGGCAGTAAACTACTCAAACTAACTGACAAGCTCTTTTTCAATTTGCTCCTTTTGTTTGTTTTTATTCATTTTAACTATTTTACTAATTAGCCTATTTCAATTTTTATGATTATTCATAATCTTGGGGTTTTGGGGTTTTGGGGTTTTGGGG